CATTCAAGAGTCTCTCATGGTTTGCCTCTCTCCCTTTCCCCCACCATTTCCGCCCTTCTTCTCCCGCTTGTTCCTCCGTCAAGTTCCTCCTAATCCTCCTATACGTGCAAACATATGATATTTGTCCTTCTCTGCCTGACTTATTTCGCTCAGCATAACACCCTCAAGGTCCATCCATGTTGCTACACATGGCCAGATTTCATTGTTCAGGAGAAATTATTCTAAGGCCACATGGCTAATAATTTATTTAAACCAATGTGGCTCGCTTTAAATCACCGTATGAAAAGTGCTTGGATTCTTTGTAAATGCACATCATATCACAAGAGGACTATAAATGAGATTCTTTTCAAGTGTACGAGAATATTTTAATTTTTATTCTGTACTAAGGATTTTGAAACAAGTCTGATTCCTAAGATAAGAACGTTACATACTCATGATAATTTCTTAACAACCCCCCAAACCTCTAATATGCTAGGTTTCACAGTAAACCTTTGGAAGTTGAAGCAGAGTGCTTTTGGTAAATCACCATTAAAGATAAAATTCACGATTTCCACGTAGAAAAAAGTTCCAGAAGAACTCCATGGAAATCTCTTACCATTTTGTCACAGACAGTTGCTGTGCTTGCAGGTTAACTACAATTTTGACGTCTGGAAGTGAATTTCACAAACCTGAGCGCAGAGAACTAGGGCATTGTGTGCCCATATGATTTTACCGTGTTCTGGTAGAAAATGAAATTGAAAGTGCTTCTCTTACATTTTAATCAGCATAGGTTTTGGTGATGAAAAAAGATTCAGTCCTGTTCTCGTCATGTTTATTCTGACCTTTGGTTTATCTAGGAGCTCGAGCCTCAGGTTGGCGAGCAGTTGCTCCAGTTATGGGAACGCCTTCCATCGGGAGAAAAAGCCACAGCTGATTGACCTGAACTCAGGTTACACTATACTTGACTTTGTGTACTGGTGGTATTTATGACTGTTAAGGACATCTTTTAAATTACTTAACCTTTTTTTTTTTTAAACTCTTTCAGGTCTCTTAGCTACAGAAGAACATTGCACCTACTTATAACCACTGAATGCACGGACTTCTAAAAACTGAGGTGGAGATAGATGTGTGTTATGAATGAATGGGCTTTTCCCGTTTAGTGTTACTTTAGAACCACCATCTTCATATAAAAGAGAAAAGGGTAATTTAAATTTTTATAGTGATCATAAAGAAGGATTATGTAATGTTAATTATATGTTTATACTTGAATAAAATAGTAGTTACATTATTTCACACAACAGCAGTTACTTGATAAACATACTTAATTTGAAGTTAAACATTTCATTTGTTGAAAACAGTGACTTATAACTCTTGTTGATGATTTTTTTTTTAAAGCAAAGTTAATTGTTTCCTTTTAAGAAGGGCCTGAATGTATCAGTATCTCTGAGCTCCATTCTAGAAGAGTTGACTCTTAAGGTTTGTCATTAAAAAACAATCCAGTTCTAAAAAGGTCCCTTTTAAAAATAGTGTGTGCTGATTAAGGACCATCCATTCTGCCATTTTAAACCTGAGCCTACGTTAGGAAAAGAAAAGGACAGATGTTCTTTTTTCTTTAAGAAGAAGTGCAGTAAAATCTGAAGGAAATCAGGGTTCCTCCCTGTCTTCGACTGGATCAAATTTCACACTTAGTTTTATTCTTGGATCTGCCTTTTACCCCCTCCTCTTATCTCACAACCTTCATACCTCTCTTACATGAGCAAGGTAATTACGACCTCTGTTTTGGCTAAGGAAACTTAGTTTAGACAAGTTACAAATGTAAATGAATTGTACGTTTTACACAAAGTACCCGAGAGTTAGCAGGAGCCTGGGTGGTGTGTGTGTCTCAGCCGAAAGCCATACCACAGTTCAACATGCTTTCTAGCACTTTGCGGGCTGCTTGCGTTTTTGGATTTTTTACTGTTTTGCATTTATGGTTTAATAATGGGGGGTAATTTTTGGTAAACCAGCGGTAGTGCCAGCTCTCCTATTTCCTTGTCTTCTCAGGAGTATTTGATCTTCATACCACCACTGTCTGTAAAGTTTCCCCCGAGGCGTTTTGAAGGGAAATACAGGTACAGGGAAATAGGAAATGGAAGAAATGTCTTAGTTACTGAGGTCTAAATAGAACAGCTTTGATAGCACTTCTCATGATATATTTGGGTTATTGAGAAAAACCACCATGAGTCTAATTTAAAGGCAAGAAGAAAACATTTAAGGCTTTTGCTTCTACATTTGAAAACAAAATGAAAAGTCATGGGTCGACATAAGATCTTGGGAACCCCTCTTTCTCTTGGAAAGCGTTGTGTGTTTGTGCAGTCATTTAGAATGGCAGCTGTGAGTTTTGCCTGTGTTTGTGGTTACTGGGTTTTTGTTGGTTTGTTTTATACTTTGAGACATGCCTGTAAATCGAGCCTGTGTAAATGAATTATGTTCTGCTGCATGTGTATTACAGTTTTTTTTCCCTGTTAGAGCAACTTGTGTTTTTTTTCTGACAATGTATATACATTTTGTTTAGGTATATATTTAGCAGTTTTTGGTATTCTAAATTTGGGAGTGAGAAGTTTTAAAAAACAAAACTTGTTTTAATTTCTTTCTGTTTTCTAATATCTAGCTCTGTATGTAAATGATGAGTTTATTGATATTTAAAATGAACACAATTTGAATGTAATTAAAATGCTGTTTTCGGAAGAGATGAACTTTAAATATACTTATTAAATGAAATTCTGTTATTTGGGTCTTGTTATTTCTGATAGTCTATAATAGGGCTCATCAGTAATATCCCTTGAGATATTATTAATGAATTTCAAACACCTTGAAGAATACTAAATTGATATCTAGAAGGTGATGATTTCACATCAGTATCTCCTTCTTAAAAATATTTGCCTCATTACCATAAGGGAATGGAAAAAAAGCTGAAGATGTGTTCAACATAAAATCTTGTGAATATTATAAACGAGGCAGCCATTCACCTCGTGTTTGCAGTCAGGACACTGTTTTGGTCATGTGCTGCTGTGTCCACGGGAACACCCCGGCCTCCCTCTACCGGTTACAGCAGAGATTGACGGTGAGGAGGGAACAGTCCCAAACATGTACTTTAAGAAAAGACCAAATTTGAGAATTGAAGAAGTTGTCCTCAGAGACTCACTCTTCACCATATAAAATCCTACTTCCTGCAGCAGGGAAAGTCTGGAGGACTGTCAGGTGAGCTTCCCCCCCGGATCCGCTCTTGGGCACAAATACCGTGACTGCACATGTCACTGACAAGGGCGCCACCCTCCAGTCTGCGTGAGCTTCCCGGGGCCCGTGTGCTCGCTGTGCCCCAGCACTTTCCACAGTTCCCCCCACGCACGGGACCACACAGGGCACTCAGCGTGCCCAGGGCCACCGGTGTTCCTTGGTCTTCCCAGCCACGGGTGAAATTTCCCCTTGGCCGTCTCCTAAAACCACAAACTCTGCATTTTCAAGATGGAACTACTGTTCTTCCTACAACCCGTTCCACTGAAAGCTGTTCTCTTTTCCACTGATGCTGGTTCCAGCCTTTGTGTTGGCCAGGCCAGGAAACGTGCAGTCATCCTTGACTCGTTTATTTCGCTCGGTCTCACCCATCAGAAAATTGTCTCAGGTCTGCCTTCAAATAGATCTAAACTCGGACTTTCTCCCCACGTCGGTCACACCCACTGTGGACTGAGCCACGGTCCTTCTCACCTGGGTTACTGAAATCGCTTCCTGAGGTTTGTCTTCCCACTTCGACCTGTCCCTGCTGCCATCAGTCTTTTTTCCACACAGAAACTGGCGTTTCTTTTAAGAACATTCGGTCTGCGTCACTCGGCTGCTCAGAACCCTGCAGGGGCTCCCTGTTTCTCTCAAAAGTCCTCATGGCACAGACACCTGCATGATCTGGTCCTCTGTTGTACCTCAGGGGCTCTCTCCTCAGCTCCTCCACTTAGTCCACTTCAGCCACACTGATGTCCCACTCTTCCTTGAATATAGGTGTGTTCTAGCCCAGACATGGATGAGCTGTTGACTCTGCCTGGAATGCTCTTCCAGAAACTCTCTTTGGCCAACTGGTTGTCACCTTGTAGTGTTAGCTTTACTGTGAAGTTGTATGTAAAGCTTATTTAACTTTTATTTTTTTATTTATTAAAAAATTTTTTAAATGTTTTTATTTTTGAGAGAGAGAGACAAGAGTGTGAGCTTGGGGAGGGGCAGAGAGGGAGGGAGACATAGAGTCTGAAGCAGGCTCCAGGCTCCGAGCTGTCAGCATGAGCCTGATGGCGGTGCTTGAACTCACAAACCACGGGATCATGACCTGAGCCAAAGTTGGACACTTAATTGTCTGAACTACCCAGGTGCCCCTGCAGTGGAGATTCTTGAACTGTGGCCCATGCATGATTGGGGAGCTATGAGGAAGGCCACATATTCCCACAAAATGTCTGCTGAATGTGTGCCTTTTACATTGTTGGGTGAGAGGTGGGTCTGTAACTTTTGTTAGATTCTCCAAGCAGCCTCCAGTCTACAAAAAAGTTAAGAGATCCTCCCTGGAATGTACTACATAATTACTTTATCCTTGTGAAATTTCATTTCATTGGTCTTAATTGCCGCTAGTATTACTACCTTGTATCCACTAGATGGTGCTGCAGTATGCATTTTCAAACACCAATAACAAGGTTCATTAATTTATTGAGTGGAAAAAGCACAGTGGTTTAAATGGCAAGTTCTCAAGTTCATTTTAGGTTGGGAGGAGTTTTTGAAATCATGTAGTTCAGTCTCATTGTTTTGAAGATAGACAACCTGAGGCCCAAAATGTTAAGGGAGAGCTGTGACTGGGACCAGACCTTTTGAAAAGTCAAAATGATGCCTTGGAGTTGGGGCTCTCCTGCTATCAAAATGTACCTGAAAGATGTGTCTGTGACTGCCGGAAGACTGGGCGTGGGACGAGGTGTAGACTTTAGATTCTTTGGTTCTGAGACATTTGTATATTTCAGCTACAGTCATGGCATGAAATTTGGCCCTTTCCCACTGAGAGCTGGTGGTGTTGCTGAAGTGGGCTTTATTTACTTAAGGAGGGAATTTGGGTAGATTCTTCCTTGTGACTGACCCTCTCCTACCCCCTTCCCTGGTTGGCTTTAGACATATCTCAATTATGTGCATTATATTCTTTCCAGAGCCAATGGGAGCCCTGTAAATATATGCATAAGCAGCATTGATGGCACATAAGGGAAGTGCTGTACGTATTGAGTTTCGGATTCCTCAGACCGGAAGAGAGAGAAAACCCAAGTCAAATGCGGAGACCACTCTAGGATAGTGACTGGACAGGTTCTCTGTAGCGTCCTCTGTGTACAAATCACTAAACAAAGACATGAAGAGGGGCCACGGCATGTGCTTTGGACTCACCTCTCTAGGGGACAGTCTTCTATGTTTCTCCCCAAAAAGAGTCTGGATGTGCCCAAGTCTTTAAAAGATGTGCTTGCTTCTTGCTTCTTGCTCACTTTCTTCCTTCTCCTTTTCCCTCTTCTTTTTCTTTTCTTTTCTTTTTTTTTTCTCGGTCTCCTCCACTTCCCTATTCTCTTTGTTTCTAAAATTTTTTTAAATGTTTTATCCATTTCTGAGAGAGAGTGTGTGAACAGGGGAGGGTCAGAGAGAGAGGGAGACACAGAATCCAAAACAGGCTCCAGGCTCTGAGCCAGCCGTCAGCACAGAGCCCGACGTGGGGCTTGAACTCATGAAACATGAGATCATGACCTGAGCCAAAGTCAGATGCTTAACCAACTGAGCCACCCAGGCACCCCATCTTTGTTTCTAGATCCTTTCTGTCTTTGGCAATCTCCTCAGCCACACCACTCTAGGCAAGAGAGGAACCCAAGTGCTCACCATTCATACCTCTTCCCACCAACGCTAACAATATGAATCAATAAAGTGTCCTTAAAAACAACAACAACAACCACCACCACCTTTTCCTCTGCACTGATAACATATACCTAACTATGTCTAAAACTCAGTGTCGTGTATTAAATTTCAGCAAGCTATGGTGAAGTTTGCTGTCATGGTCTACACTTGTCTCTACAGACCCATGCTTCTAACTGTGCCTGGGATGCTGACTTTTATGTCCTCCAACTTTTTCTTTTTCTTTCTTCTTTTTTCTTTTCTTTCTTTCTTTTCTTTTTTTTTTTTTTTTGAGAGAGAGAGAGACAGAGAGGGAGCTGGGGAAGTGGGGGAGGGGGCAGAGAGAGAGGGAAACACACAATCCAAAGCAGGCTCCAGGCTCTGAGTTGTCGGCATAGAGCTGGACGCAGGGCTTGAACACAAGAGCCATGAGATCATGACCTGAACTGAAGTTGGAGGCTTAACCAACTGAGCCACCCAGGCACCCCTTTACTCTGACTTCTTGAGTTTGGCCAATGGGAGGTGGGAAAGTGAGAGGAGAGAGAGCTGGGGAACTCCTTTCCCTGCCTCACTGTCTGCTGGGTCACTGGGTAGCTTGGCTGTGTCCTCAGTCCACTGCTAAAAGCCATAGCTACTATCAGGCAGCTCTCCACCACAGCTAGGACTTTCTGGTTTCTAGTAGCTTCTTGTTCCTTCCTTTGTTCCATCAGGCCTAAGGGTGGTAGTATTTTTCTGTTATTGCTAGTCATGGGGTGCCTCATTCTCCCCTGTGTTTCCTGAACTCTGCCTCCTTGTTTGTAAACAGACCCTCATTAAAATCTCTTCATTCTTTCCATTGGTTTTCAATCCAAGCCCTGACCTGTTTAGCCAGAACCTTCACTGAATGTCTATAGTATGAATTTACTCACAAACACCTGTTTATGATGCTGGATTTATGTATAGATTTTTTGAACTGGAACATTAATGGTCACATTTTATTACACTTATTTTGAAAATGAATGGGGGTCCCCAGTGTGAGGCCTGAACTCATGAGCTGTGAGATCATGACCTGAGCTGAAATCAAGAGTTGGACGCTTAACCGACTGAGCCACCTAGGCACCCCAGAACATTGACATTTTTATTATGTATGTGTGTATGCTTTAAAACACTCTCATGAGAATCCATGACTTACTGCTAGTCATAGCTTCTGTGATGAACATCATGATTCATTACTCATGTGCACCATTGGGAAGGAAGCACTTATTCCCCCATACTGGGTGGGCTGCTGGAAGAAACCCTCAGATGTCAGACCCTCACAGATCTTCAGCTTCAGCTGAAGAGAACTGCCTTGCCCAAGTCATGTCCCTTTCCCAGAGTGGCCCATCTCCAGTGATTGATTCCTGCTTGGGGCATAAAGCCTCATCCCTCTTGTCCCAACTCAGGATAACTTTGAAGGGTCATCCCAGCATCAAGATTTCCCATGGGGAGCACACAGACCACCAGTGGGACTGCATCGCAGCTCATCTTCTCCCTCCAGCCAACTCTGCTTCCTTGCTTCCCCCTTTCGGGTGTCCATCGCCAGAACCCTCCTAGAGGCCATTCTCCTCAGAGTCGGACCCAACCTGTGACATTTGGTGCCAGAAGTGATCCCAAAATGCAGATTCTGGGATAAGATTCTGGATCTGGATTATGCACGAATTGCTTGACAATGAGCAATTGTCACCATTGGCAGAGGTGAGTTGGGTGCACACAGACTTTGGCACAAGGTGGCAATGCAGTTGTTGAACCTTTTGACTCTGCTTGGGTCACATGACCACCTCCTCACTGTGGACTGGGTGAGAGGAGACCTGACCTGGGTCAGGGGAGC